TTTTTGATTTATTGTAGAGATGAGGTCTCGCCAAGTTGCCCAGGCGGGTTTTGAACCTGCAGGCTTAGGCAATCCACTCACCTCAGCCCTTCAAGGCACGGGATTGCAGGCTGAGCCACTGAGCCCAGCTATTAATGATATATTTTAATGATGAAACTGAAGATTGCAAGCAGAAGTTACCTCAGTGATTGATCTCTAATTCTTGCCGGTATTTTTGTTTTGCTGCCATTTGATGCCATCTTTATAATTACTGATTTTGATTTGTTCAAAGGCCTTTTGTAATTCCGTTGTCAACTGATAGCACCAGCTGGAAGTGGAGCAGCTGAAGAAGAGTATGGGTGTGGGCTGGAGTCTGATTGCTGTGGTTGGTCCTATGGCCTTTGACAGTTTACTTAAGATCCCTGTCACTTGATTTCTTGGCCTGTAAAAGCAAGATAGCTGTAGTGACTTAACTGCCTTACAGGGTTATTATGAAGATTAATAATAATACATGTGTCTAGCCTAGCACAGTGTCTGACACATAGGAAGTACTCAATATATGTTGTCACATTTTCTTAACCTTCTCGTTTCCACCTAATCCCTCCTAGATTCTGATCCTAAGTCTAAGAAAATGTGCTCGAGTACAGTGGTTTGTCCGATTCTGTGAAATCCCTTTCGGTAAACAGCATTTGTTGGGCCGGAAGCCTGCTGCACAGGAAGTATTCTTGTATGATTACCCTGCCTGTGACGACAACATTAACGCCGAGACTATCATTGGCCCTGTTCGGGTAGGTGGTGCCTTGATCCTTGGTTATATCTTGAAGCTTATTTCTGTCTCCCTCCTAAACTGCATGACCTCAAAAATATTACTGGCTCTAATTTACCTCCTGGAGAATGAGTTTTTTTCCTGTCATCTTCTCTGTTTGCCTGCCTGCTTCATCTCAACAAACATTTATTGAGAGTACATACCATATGTTTGGGGCCTCCGGGAGGAAATGACATTTAGGTTGTGACCTGAGGGAACAGCAGGAATTAGCAAATATTGCTCAGTGAGAAGTTATATTTAGCTATGATTGTGGCAGGCATAAAGCATTGTGAGACTGAATATGATGGCCCTTTTTTTTTTGAGTTGAAGTCTCACTCTGTCACATGGCCACCGTACCCTCGACCTACTGGGCTCAGGCAATCTTTCTGCTTCAACCTTCCAAGTAGCTGGAACTACAGGCATGCACCACCACACTCAGCTAATTTTTTTATTTATTGTAGAGGTGAGGTCTCTCCAAGTTGCCCAGGCTGGTCTCGAACCAATGGTCTTAGGCAATCCTCTTACCTTGGCCTCCCAAAGTGCTGGGATTATAGATGTGAGCCACTGAACCCAGTCTTGAATATGATGGCCTAAATGAGCAAGTCAGTACAGAGTATGAGTTGCTGTAGGCAAATCTGTGTTATGGGATTTTATAATAAATCATGTACTGATGAGCTATTGGTTTGTAGGCTGAAGTGAGACACTAAATACATGGGTTTTTCTTGGAGCTATTCCAGGCTCCTGTAATGGGATTAGATAATGTGAAGTGTGGTTGTATGGTTGGTTTAATAGTAGGGCAGAAACTTTGGTCTGACTTGACTATAGTAATTTATCTCTGAGTTAAATGAGTGAAAGAAAGCCGAAGGAGTGAAAGGCAGATGCAGAAACTGCAGCAGCAGGATGAGCAGTTTTGGAAAGGTGAGGGGCAGGGGGGCGGTGTCTAGGCAGGAGCACAATGGTGGGAATAAGGACTGTGTTAAGGCCATCTGTAGGTAAGAGGAGACCAGACTTTAGAAGGCACTGAAAAACTAGTTTTAAGTAATTTGATTCTGCTGCATTGAAAGTCATTATTGACTATTGAGCAGGGTATGTTTAGAGTTTTTGTGGGAAAATTTGGCATGGGTGAATAGATGGACTGGAAAAGAAAACAATATAAGCTATGGATATCAGCTAGGAGAAATCTTTGAAAATAATCTAGGGGTGAGATGATGTGTACTTGAACTAGGGTGATTCATAGTAATTGGAATTAAGAAATGAAACCAATATATAATTTAAAAAGGAAACAGGTTGGACTCAGTGGCTTAGCCTGTAATCCCTGCACTTTGGGAGGCCGAGGCGAGTGGATTGCCTGAGCTCACACGTTCGAGACCCACCCGGGCAACTTGGCGAGACCTCATCTCTACAATAAGTCAAAAATTAGTGGGGCATGGTAGCGCGCACCTGTAGTTCCAGCTACTTGGAAGGCTGAGGCGAAGGATCGCCGGAGCCCAGTAGGACAAGGCTGTGGTGGCCAGGAGCGGCCAGTGCACTCCAGTCTGGGCGACGGAGTAAGAATCCAACTCAAAAAAAAAAAAAAAAATTTAGGGATTTGTTCTAGGGACGTTTTGTTTAGAAATGGTTTGATCTTTTTGAGATTTGCTTTTAAGCTCTGTTAGGTAGAATCAGACAACTTTTATTCTGAGGCAACAGAGTGAGACTCCAACTAAAAAAAAAAAAAAAAAGGAATAATTTACTCTTTGTATTTCATTGATGTCTTTAAAGCTACTATTGGGTAAATATTCAGTTAATATTAACTATTCTTTTTTGAGTTGGAGTCATACTCTGTCGCCCAGACTGGAGTGCAGTGGCCGGGATCGGCCACTGCACCTCTACCCACTGGGCTCCGGCGATCCTTTCACCTCAGCCTTCCGAGTAGCCGGAATTACAGGCACGCGCTACCATGCCCGGCTGATTTTTTGATTTATTGTAGAGATGAGGTCTTGCCAAGTTGCCCAGGCGGGTCTCGAATCCACAGGCTCAGGCAATATTAACTATTCTTATGTGTTTCTCTATCAATGTGCCTTGCCATGTCTGTGATTTTTTTTTTTTTTCTTTTTGAGTTAGAGTCTCACTCTATCGCCCAGACTAGAGTGCAGTGGCCGCTCCTGGCCACTGCAGCCTCGACCTACTGGGCTCCGGCGATCCTTTCGCCTCAGCCTTCTGAGTAGCCGGAATTACAGGCGTGCGCTACCATGCCTGGCTAATTTTTTTTTATTTTATTATAGAGATGAGGTGTCGCCTGCCCAGGCGGGTCTCGAACCCGTGGGCTAAGGCAATCCACTCACCTCAGCTTCCCAAAGGCGCGGGATTACAGGCTGAGCCACCGAGCCCGGCTTGTGATTCTTTAAATTGGAAAAGTAATGTTCTAAGTTCAGACGTGGACTTAAATGGTTTTTAATTGCAGCATTGATGGAATATTCCTTAGCTCTTTGCGGTCTCACCTCTAATTGCTCTTCCCTGTACTTTCTAAATTCAGGTAGTAGCTTTAGCCGCAGATGAAGTAATTCCTGTGGATCTGAAAAATGAGAAGACATTCTTTGTGAAGCTGTCTTGGGATAAAAAGAAGTTCAGACCACTGCCCCCAGAACTATTTGCCGAGTTGGATAAATCACTGGAAGGCAGTGCCAAGTGCCAGAAGCCTGTGAGAGCCAAGACTAAGAGCACAGAAAGCCCTTCTTGGACCCTAACAGAACACGTGGTCAAAAGAATTGAATCAAGGCATTCCACCTCCAAATCTCGCCAAACTCCTACCCATCCTGTCACCCCAAGGGCGAGGAAGAGGCTAGAGCTTGGCAGTAAGTGTGGAATAGGACACAGTTGGCAAATACTGGGACAAAAGGAATAAAATATTAATTATGTGACAGTAATGAATTAGAGCAGCAATAAGTCAGGTACCGATCGGACACATGTTGAAAAATAACATAGATTTTACCATTTTAATCACTTTTTTTTTTTTTTTTTTTTTTTGAGTTGGAGTCTCACTCTGTCACCCAGACTGGAGTGCAGTGGCCGCTCCCGGCCACCGCAGCCTCGGCCTGCTGGGTTCCAGCGATCCTTCCGCCTCAGCCTTCCGAGTAGCCGGAATTACAGGCATGCGCCACCACACCCGGCTGATTTTTTGATTTATTGTAGAGATGAGGTCTCGCTGCCCAGGCGGGTCTCGAACCCGCGGGTTTAAGCAATTCACTCACCTCAGCCTCCCAAAGGCGCGGGATTACAGGCTGAGCCACCGAGCCCGGCTCATTTTAATCACTTTTAAGTGACACTAAGAACATTCATGTTGTGTACCTGTCACCGTCATCTTTTTTAAATCAGAAACTCTGTGTCCCTTAATTATTTTTATTTTTATTTTTTTTGAGTTGGAGTCTCACTCTGTCACCCAGGCTGGAAGGCAGTGGCACGCTCCCGGCCACCACAGCCTCAACCTGCTGGCTCACGTGATTCTTCCGCCTCAGCCTTCCAAGTAGCTGGAACTACAGGTTCACGCTACCATGCCCAGTTAGGTTTTTTTGTTTTATTGTAGAGACGAGGTCTCACCAAGTTGCCCGGAGGGGTCTCGAATCTGCAGGCTCAAGCAATCTACTCGCCTCAGCCTCCCAAAGTGCTGGGATTACAGGCTCAGCCACTGAGGCTGGCAACTCTGTGTCCATTTAAACAATAGCTCCCCATTCCCCCAGCCCTTAGCAACTATCATTTTACTTTCTGTCTGCATGATTTTGAATACTCTGGAAATTCATATAAATGGAGTCATACAGTGTTTGTCCTTTTATGACTGTTTTATTTACCATAATGTTCTCAAGGTTCATCTATTTTGTACCTTATGTCAGAATTAACTTTTTTTTTCTTTTTTAAGTTGTAGTCTCACTCTGTTGCCCAGACTGGAGTGCAGTGGCACACTCACGGCCACCATAGCCTCGACCTGCTGGGCTCAGGCGGATCCTTCCGCATCCTGTCACATTTTTGTGACGATAGATTTACTCTTAGTTAATTTGAAACAGACAATGCATTATTATTCATTTTAGTTATCCTGCTGTACAGTAGATCTCAAAAAGATATTCCTGTTAGCTGAACCTTTCCAAGTAGCTGGAACTACAGGCACGCCCCACCACTCATGGCTAGTTTTTTGATTTAGTGTAGAGATGAGGTCTCGCCAAGTTGCCCAGCTGGTCTCAAACCCATGAGCTCAGGCAATCCTCTCACCTCGGCCTCCCAAAGTTCTGGAATTACAGGCATGAGCCACTGCGCCTGTCAGAATTCCCTTTTTTTATTTTGTTTATCCATTTATCTGTCCATGGATACTTCTGGCTATTACAAATAATGCTGCTATGAATACAGGTATAACAAATATCTCTTAGAGATCCTGCTTCCATTCTCTTTGATATATACTCATAAGTGGAATCGCTGGATTATGATGATTCTGTATTTCTTAAGGAATTGCCATACTATTTTCTACAGCAACTGCATCATTTTACATTCCCACCAACAGTGTACAAGTGTTCCAATTTCTCCATATCCTTGCCAACACTTGTAATTTTTGGGGTTTTTTCGATGTGTTTTGTTTGTTTTTAAAGAGATGGGATCTCACCAGGTTGCTCAGGCTGAAGTATAGTAGCTATTTACAGGTGTGTTTGTGGCATACTACAGCCTAAAACTCCTGGGCTTGAGTGCTTCAGACTCCCGAGTAGTTGGGACCACAGGTGTGCGCTACCAGACTTGGCTCTATTTTCTGGGTTTTTTGTTTGTTTTTTTGTTTTTGATTTGGAGTCTCACTCTTTCTCATGCTGGAGTGTAGTGGCATGCTCACGGCCAACGTAAACTCTACCTGCTAGGCTCAGGTAACCCTTCTGCCTCAGCCTTCCAAGTAGCTGGAACTACAGGCATGCGTCAGTATGCCCAGCTAATTTTTTGATTTATTGTAGAGATGAAGTCTATCCAAGTTGCCCAGGCTGGTCTTAAACCCATGGACTCAGGCAGTCCTCTCACCTCAGCCTCACAAAGTACTGGGATTATAGATATGAGCCACCATGCCTGGCTTGGTTTTTTGATAGTAATCCCTGCTAAGTATGAGGTGCCATTTTATTATAATTTTTTACCTTTAATATTTTTAATTGGGAGATCATAATTGTATTATATTCATGGAGTACATTGTGATGTTTTGATAGATGTACACAACACGGAATGATTAAATCAAGCTAATTTAAAATGTCTGTCACTTCACTTAACATTTTTGTGATGATAGATTTACTCTTAGTTAATTTGAAACAGACAATGCATTATTATTTACTTATCCTGCTGTGCAGTAGATCTCAAAAAGATATTCCTGTTAGCTGAAACTTTGTACTGGTTGACTAACAACTCCCTATTCCCTTTCTCCCTATCCCTCTTTCCTCCCTCCCAACCTCAGGTAGCCATCATTGTACTCTCTACTTCTATGGATTTAACATTGTTTAGATTTCACATATAAGTGACATCATACTGTATTTGTCTTTCTTTGCCTGGCTTATGTTGCTTAGCATCATGTCCTCTAGCTTTATCCTTTACTGTGGTTTTGATTTACATTTCCCTAATGATTAGTGATGCTGAGCCCTGGAATCAGCCCTTTTTTCGAGGGCTCTGGTATTTTGCCATGACATTGCTTCTAGATCTTCAGTGGAAGAGCTCAGAAGCATCTACATTTTTAAATTCTTAAATTCATACTGATATTTCTAATATCTGTACCACAGGATTATTCTCCTCCTTCACATATTCCATAATTATATCTCTGTTCTCCATCAGGAAAAACTCTGATTCTCAGGAGCAATCCTGGTACATACAAAATAGTTTCAAAATTAATTACTAAACCAATACTACTACCAGCAGTACACTCACCAAGTAAAGTTTAAAATTTATTTGCAATTCATTATAATATTAGAATATATTCTACTGAACATGTATGTTTAAAATCTTTAAAAAAAGAATGGTTTCATCACTCTAAAGTTTACTTGTGTCTTTCTGTTTTCAACAAATCTCTCTCTCTTCCCCCAGCCCCTGATTCACTGATGTGTTTGCTGTCTGTATAGCTGTCTTTTCTGAAATATCATATAGTGGGAATCATACTGCCTGGTCTTGAGTCTGACTCCTTTCTTTTTCTTTTTTTTTTTTTTTTTTTTTTTGAGTTGGAGTCTCACTCTGTCACCCAGACTGGAGTGCAGTGGCCGCTCCCGGCCACCACAGCCTCGACCTGCTGGGCTCCAGCGATCCTTCCCCCTCAGCCTTCCGAGTAGCCGGAATTACAGGCGCACACTACCACGCCCGGCTGATTTTTTGATTTATTGTAGAGATGAGGTCTCACCTGCCCAGGCGGGTCTCGAACTCGCGGGCTCAGGCCATCCACTCACCTCATCCTCCCAAAGGTGCGGGATTACAGGCTGAGCCACCGAGCCCGGCTTGAGTCTGACTCCTTTCATTTAACATTGTGCATTAGGGAATCATCCATGTTGTCACATGAGTCAGTAATTTGTTTCTTTTTTGTTGCTTAGTAGTATTTCATTGTATGGATTTACCACATATTGTATCCATTCCCAATTTAAGGACATTTGGATTATTTCCAATTTTCGGTGATTATGAATAAAACCACCATAAAGATTCGCACACAGGCGCTCTTCTAGTTCCTGGAGAGTTTCGACTGTCTTGTACTGAGGATAACAAGAAGTTGTCACTTGAATGTCACATAGTCAGCTCTGCTCTGAGCTTTCCTACCTTGCTGCTGGAGCTCAAAGTCATCTCTCACTTATCTCCTTGCATGTCCCCTTTCAACTCTGGTGACATTTTACCTTTCTATCAAGATCTATTTCAAGTGCCATCTTTGTCAGCACTTAGGTACTTTAGGGCACTTTACTTCTTCCTAGCACTTGGCAAATGTCTTTCCATGTGGCTCGGTTGATACCTATAAATGATGTCTAGGGTCCCTGGTGCCTGTTGTCCTGGTAAGGGGGAGGAACAAATCTATACAGTGTTATTTATTGGTAGGTAAAATGTTCACATTTTCTGTGTAATTTTTCTTGATCTTAGGTTTCCCTGGGACACCTAATACTAGGATGTCCCAGAAAACTTCATGTTCCTCCTTGAATTCTCCAGGAAGAACTAAACGGAAAATAGCCTTCTCCGAGATCACCTCGGCCAAGAAGTCTCAGCCTGATAAACTTAAAACCTTGTCTCCAGTTCCAAAAGCTCCAGAGAAAACTGGACAGATTCGACTCTCTTGTACTGAGGATAACAAGAAAGCATCACCTGAACGTCACATGGTCCTGAGAACCCGAACTCCAGCTTTGAAAACTACAGAGTTTAGTGAGGAGAGAACACTTACCCCTATCAGGGGGGGACAGAAATCCTCAGTGGTGCCTTTTGTGGTTCTGAAACCAGAAAACAAAAAGAGGTGACCGAGGACATTGCCCACAGAGTGTGTGTGGGTCATATTTTTAAAAATTAGAATAGTAGCTGGAAAGCCTGTGTTATAGAATCACTGGGGAGTTTTCCCAAAATATAAATTTTTAGGCCTCTTCCCAGACATAGTAAGTCAGACTCCAAGCATTGAGCTTGTATTTTGAAATACTCTTCAGGAATTTGTATTTTCTTTTTTTTTTTGAGTTGGAGTCTCACTCTGTTGCCCAGGCTGGAAGAATGCAGTGACATATTCACAGTCACCCCAGCGTTGATCTGCTGGGCTCTGGCAATCCTGCCTCCGCCTCAGCCTTCCAAGTAGCCGGGACTATAAGTGCGCACTACCACACTGGGCTAATTTTTGACTTATTGTAGAGACAAGGTCTTACCAAGTTTCCTGGGCTGGTCTCGAACCCCTGGTCTCAGGCAGTCCACTTGTCTTGGCCTCCCAAAGTGCTGAGATTACAGGCTGAGCCACTGAGCCCGGCAGGAATTTGTATTTTCAAATGCTCTTAAGATGGTTCTGATATTCCTGCTGCTGTTTGGGGATTATTGCTGTAGAAGATAGTTTCCCAAACCTGCATTGCTTCATAGTTCTGGATTTAATTGATTCCTGTGGGTCTTCATCATATTTTAACAGTCATTTTTTAATCAATTTTTGGTTTTAACTGGAAACCATTCTCACATACAGTACAAGAAGATACTCATCTGAAACAAACTTTGCCATTTGATACTAGATAATATTTGTAGATAATGGGCTGTACGAATAATGTGAACCAGAAATTATACATTTCAGTGTTTGCTGCTTAGAATCTTCAGCACCTGGCCCATAATAGATTGCTCAATAAATACTTTATATTGAATATATAGCTGCCTTTCTGTTAACCTTGATCCTGAGTGAACTGTAAATTCGAAACAGAAAAGGAGCCAAAAGCCTCTGTCTGAGAGTAGAGTTGGGGAGGTGGCAAGTCTGATTTAAATGGTATGCTCTAAGCAGACTCTGGTCTCTGGGTTTGAGTCAAGCTTCAGTCATAAACTTTTTAGCAAAGTAAGATTAGCTATTTACAAAGTAGCTGTGAAAAGAAAAGGAACCTGTCAGGCCACTTCACTATCTTCTAGCCTGCTGTGGATTCCTAGTGCCCAAAACTGCTTCCCATAACCTCACTGTGATGTCTTCCAGAGATGCAAAAGAGCCAGAAGTTCAAAATGAAGTTACCTCCACTCCCCACCGAATTCGCAGAAAGAGTTCTGTCTTGAGTTTGAATCGAATTAAGCAGCAGCTTCGGTAAGACTGCTCCTTGCAGGCAAAAAAACTGCTGTCATCTCTGATGTGTGCAGTCTTATTTCTTAAAGACTTTTATACTGTTTATTTTTTCAATCCATTGAAATCTTTTTATCTAGCATGTCTAGAATTACGTTGTTTCACATAAATGTCTTAGTTTGAAAGGGGCAAGAAATACAGTCCTGAGCTTAGGTGGCTCCCATGACCCCTAGTCATCTTGCCCAGCAAGACCACTGGTGGGATGGGGTGCTTAAGAGCATGAACTTTGATTTTGACAGATTGGGTTTGAATCTGGGCTTTGTCATTGACTATCTGTGTAACCTTGTGAATTTTACTTAGCCTTTTGAAGCCTGAATTCCTCATCCTCAAAATAGTAATAATAGTATACAAGTCACAAAATTGTTGAAGTGTTTAATGAGATAATATAAATCAGAGCTCCCCAACCCCTGGTCTGTGGACCGGTACTGGTCTAAGTTAGGAACTGGGCCACAGTGGGTGAGCAAAGCTCTGTCTTCTGTCACATAAGCCATGGCATTAGATTCTCATAGGAGCGCAAACACTATTGCAAATTGTGCATACAAGGGATTTAGGTTTCTCACTCTTTATGAGACTCTAATGCCTGATGATCTGAGGTGGAGCTGTGGCGGTGATGCCGAGGAGTGGCTGCAAGTACAGATTAATATCAGCAGTGAGGTTTGACTGCACGTCCTCCCTCCCCCACCCCTGTCCATGGAAAAATTGTCTTCCACAAAACTGATCCCTGATGCCAAAAGGTTGGGGTCTGCTGATGTAAATATGCTTTGCAGAGTTTCTCAGTAGCAAGTTCCTATATTGACTGGTCGTAGGAGAGACCCGCAAGACCTATAATCCACAGTGAACTTTATTATGGAATTCTTATTTAGACTTGAACACTGAATACCAGAAACTATGTCCCCACCATTCAGGTTTCTAGGTAATAGTAAAGATGACCAAGAAGAGGAAGAGTTTTTGCCAACAGCAGAGATTCCAGACTCTATCAATGAGGAGGAAGAGGCTTTCACACCACTCCTTCCAAGAAGTAAACACAGAAGTGTGTCCAGGAACCTACGCTCTTCCTTGAAACCATCCTCTCAGACCCTTTCCAACACACCAAAGAAAGCTGTAAGGTTCTTTAAGTTTATTTCCCAATGAAGCATCCCTCTCAGTTTAAAATTTATAAATGCTGAGGTCACAGATTGTTGACAGTTGGAATATAAGGACAGATCTGTTATATTCAAAGTATTCCTTGCCAGGCACGGTAGCTTACTCCTGTAATCCCAGGACTTTGGGAGGTAGAGGCGAGAGAATTACCTGAGCTCAGGAGTTCAAGACTAGCTTGGGCAACATGGTGAGATCTCGTTGTTGCAATAAATCAAAAAATCAGCTGAGCATGGTGATGCTTGCCTGTAGTTCCAACTACTTGGAAATTAGGCAGAAGGATCGCCTGAACCCAGTGTGTCGAGGCTGTGATGGCCGTGAGTGGGCCACTGCACTCCATCCTAAGCAATAGAGTGAGGCTCTGACTCAAAGACAAAGAAACAATCAAAAAAGTATTCCTCTTGGAATATTCACGAAGGAAAAGACCTAAGTGAACCCTAGAGCTGCAAATGAATCCAATAGACAGTGATTTTTCAGTTCAAGTTCCTTTTATGGTACAGAATCAGATGGCCAGGAACTGAACCTCCTTGAGGGAAGTACAAAAACCAGCTTTTAAATTTTCCATGAAGATCACTAGCAGAGTACTTTGCCAGGTAATCAGTACTTGGTAGGTATTGAATCTAGGGCTGCTGGACCATGGGCATTTTTTTTTTTTTTTTTTTTTTTGCTTCCCTTGGAACTTTAGTAGAACATTTGAAGATATTAAGAAAAAAGGGAGCCGGGCTCAGTGGCTCAGCCTGTAATCCCGCACCTTTGGGAGGCTGAGGTGAGTGGATTGCCTGAGCCCGTGGGTTCGAGACCCGCCTGGGCAGCGAGACCTCATCTCTACAATAAATCAAAAAATCAGCCGGGTGTGGTAGTGCATGCCTGTAATTCCAGCTCCTTGGAAGGCTGAGGTGGAAGGATCGCCGGAGCCCAGCAGGTCGAGGCTGCGGTGACTGGGAGCGGCCACTGCCCTCCAGTCTGGGTGACAGAGTGAGACTCCAACTCAAAAAAAAAAGAAAAAAGGGTCTCATGTTCAAGTGTGTTTGAGAAATGTTTGAATTAAAGTTAAATTGATGGAGCATCTTGCATCACAGTTGAGAAATGGTTCCTTAGAAGATTTTTTCTAAAGATCATCTCTACTTTTCCATATGAAGATGTGATGGAAAAGGTTGTAGTCAGAGAAAAACCTCTAGGAAAGGGAATCCAATAGATTGTGTTTGCATAGAGGCCGTTTGTGATTGTATCTCCTGGATCCCCATCCAAAAGAAAGATTATGGATGTGGGGCATCTTGAGCATAATAAATATGTCTGAAGTTCATCGGGCTTCTTGATACCTTCTCAGTGAGGTTTTATCACTCCTGTTTTCTCCAAAGTTAACAGATGTAAAACCTTTCAAACAGACAGGGTCTAAGTGCCTTCTGCTAAGAAAGAGGTAGAGAGATTGTTACCACTCTCCAGCCCAGTTGGAAGCAGAGGGTGGCTAGAGTGAACTGCCTCACCATAGGGAGTGCTTTATAGAAACACCATGAAGATGAGGGTAGCTGGAGCAGGTCTGCTCTAGAAAGCCAGTGGCAAGGAAGAGAATATTGTTGTTACCTTAGATTGGGATTTGGAGTGGATAAAAACTTCTGGCAAGGTTTCCTAGGTACTGTGTTATGGACTGAATATTCCTTTGTGGACTGTGAAAGTCCTGGGCTAAAGCTTGACCATATTTTCAAATAAACCTAAAGAAAAATCTAATGAATCAAACCCATTTTATGCCTCCTCTTCTCTTCTGTATTTCTGACTAGTTAGGGTTTCTTTTTTTTTGAGTCAAGGTCTCACTTTGTGGCCCAGGCTGGAGTACAGTGACATGATTATGGCTCACCACAGCCTCAACCTCCTGGGCCTCCATGGCTTACTACAGCCTCGACCTCCTGGACTCAGCCTCTTGGGTAGCACCATGCCCTGCTTATTTTTTATTTTTGTAGAGACAAGGTCTCGCCATATTGCCTAGGCTGGTCTTGAACTCCTGGGCTCAAGTGATCCTCCCACCTTGGCCCCCCAAAGCACTGGGATTACAGGTGTGAGCCACCACGACCAGCCAAGTTTCTTAACAGTTTCTTGTCTTTCAGGATAATATTTTACGTTTACGAGTATGTAATTTATACCTCTATTTATTTCCTCAGATTGATATTGTTTTTAAATTCTAATACTGTATGTAAGTTAGAAAAAGCACATTTGGGCTATGAACAGAGTGTATGTGTAATGTGAGGCGAGAGGGAGAATCGTGGTTCTTTATATAGGGAGGAACTAAGGAGAATTCACCATCTCTCTTCCTTTTATCATATCAGTATGAATTGCATTGGTGACAGTGTCCTGGATGGTGTTTTGCTGAATGTTTACCTTCTGAACTATGCTCTCTGTTTTAAATACAGCCCAAGCCTAGAACACCACGTTGTGCCACTCCTCAGATCCGTAGCCGAAACCTGGCTGCCCAGGAACCAGCCAATGTGCTGGAGAAAGCCCGGCTGAGGTACTGTTGCTCCAGGGCCCTTGCAGACAGGCAGGAATAATGGGACCTCTGCTGTCATACAGTGAGGGTAGTTATCAGCCACCAGTGTATCTAATAAAAGTAGAGAATAAAATGAATATGTGTGTTGAGCAGAAAGAAACCTCTCAAACTGCATCTGGGTGAGCCAACATGAACAGGCCCTGGGAGGAGCCTAGTCTGCTGCTGTTGTTTTCTCAGGGGAGGAAGGTGCCTCTTGGTTATAGTGCCTTTTGGAACCATATGGAGGCTTTCTCAAAATACGTGAAGTCCAGATCTTGCCAGAAATCAAGCAAAATCTGAATCTCTTTTGGCACGAAGTCCACCCACATGATTTGCAAGATTGAGTTTTCATGTAGAAACTATAGACAAATCTTTTTTTTTTATCTTTTACAGAGTAGATGATGGTGAAATGCTTCTAAAGTCTTTTCCCCCATTTACCATCAACTATAGGTTGCATGTTTCTGCTGTGCCTGAGTCTCTTCCCTGTCGGGAACAGGAATTCCAAGACATCTACAACTTTGTGGAAAGCAAACTCCTTGACCATACTGGAGGGTGAGTCACAGAGGCAGGCAGGTAGCCTGGGGAAGACAGCTCCTGGTTGTATGCCACCTTAGGTGTTACAGTTGATCCTTCCCCAGTGTCAGCAGAAAAGATAAAATCATTGCTGTGAAGCCTAACGCTTCGGAAGCAGCTTTTGCTGCCAAAGGAGTTCTGTAGGAAAAAAGTCTGCCTTCCTGAAAAAATAAGACTGGCCTTCTTTGGATAGGCGGGTTGCATACAACATGGTTTGTGGAATTAATGATTCCATATAAACAGGTCCTACTCCGACCAGCCTCCAGGGGTGGTCCCTACTGCCCCACCTCCACATTTCAGTAATCCTTCCCTCAGTATACCTTCCACACTCACAACTGATGATAGCATGATGTGGCTGGCACTGATCTAGCCCACGGGTTTTCCCTTCTTACTCCAGGTGCATGTACATTTCTGGTGTCCCTGGGACAGGAAAGACTGCCACTGTGCATGAGGTGGTACGCTGCCTGCAACAGGCAGCCCAAGCAAATGATGTTCCTCCCTTTCAATTCATTGAGGTCAATGGCATGAAGCTGACAGAGCCCCACCAAGTCTATGTGCAAATATTGCAGGTAAGCAAAGCTATTTGGGCATTTTGGAAAACACAGTTCTTATTGGCACATAAGAAAGGAAAGATTTATTTGATTTTGTGTGTATTTCATTTGTTTATTTATATATTTATTTATGTATTTTTTGAGTTGGGGTCTCACTGTGTTGCCCAGGCCGGAGCACAGTGGCACAATCACTGCTCACTGCAACCTTGACCTACTGGGCTCAGGTGATCCTTCCACCTCAACCTTCTGAATAGCTGAGACTATAGGCGTGAGCCACCATGCTTGGCTAATTTTTCTGTTTTTTGAGTCTGAGTCTCACTCTGTCACGCAGGCTGGAGTGCAGTGTCACGCTTATAGCCACCGCAGCCTTGACCTACTGGGCTCAGACAGTCCTTCCACTTCAGCCTTCCTAGTAGCTAGAACCACAGGCATGTGCCACCATGGCTGGCTAAATTTTTTATTTATTTTAGAGATGGGGTCTTTCCATGTTGTTCAGGCTGGTCTCGAACCCCTGAGCTCAGGCAATCCTCTTGCCTCTGCCTCCTAAAGTGCTAGGATTACAGACTTAAGCCACCATGCCTGGCCTAATTCTTAAATTTTTTTTGTAGATACAAGGTCTTGCCATGTTGCCTAAGCTTTTCTCAAACTCCTGGGCTCAAGCAATCCTCTCGCTTTGACCTACCAAAGTGCTGGGACTATAGGCGTGAGCCACTATGCCTGGCTTATTTCCTGTGTTAATGATGCTCTAGGCATTGTCCTTTGTATAGAGGTAGCAAGGACAGAAGAATTCTTAACCTCAAGGATGTTAAAGTCTAGGACCTGGAAGTGAGTACTTAACCAACATGGCAAAAACCATGAGCTCATAGGTGGCTGTGTGGCAAACATGGAAAAGTAGTCAGTGGCAGGCCAGAGTTAGCCTTGCTCTTTCATTCATGGGCTGATATCTCGGAGCAGGTAATGTCCAGATATAGAATTATGTAATAGTGATTTTAGGGAGGCTTCTGGGACCAGCCTTGACTCGTGCATTTCAAACACACAAACTATCTTCTGTTTTGATGCCTTCTCTTGTCCGTCTAGGTTAAGGGTTAAGTGGAAGGCACAGGATTCTGAAGTCCTTAGACTAAATAGCTTCTTCCATTTACAGATTTAGCTTTAAGGCCAGTGTAATAAAGTCCTTACAGTTTACCTCAACTGTTGTTCCTCTAATGCAGAAACTAACAGGCCAAAAGGCAACAGCTAGCCATGCGGCAGAACTGCTAGCAAAGCGATTTTGCACCCGAGGGTCCTCTCAGGAAGCCACTGTCCTACTTGTGGATGAGGTGAGGTGCCCACAGGACTGGAGAAGAAGCGGGACAGTACTTAACTTATGTTTTAGCAGCAAGTACTGTGTGGGAGGGAAGTCCGGGCTCCCTTCTCTGTTCATCTGAGCCCATTCTCTAGTGGTGAGGCATGTGTCAGTCAACTGCCTTGTTGTTGCGGTGCTGTGACCTGGGAAATGCATGCAGCTGAAACCATGATTATGTCTTCATTCTGAAGCCCTGGCTCTGTTTGACCCTGCCTTCCTCTGCTTTCCTTGGCAGCTTGACCTTCTGTGGACTCACAAACAAGATGTAATGTACAATCTCTTTGACTGGCCCACTCACAAGGAGGCCTGGCTTGTGGTCCTGACCATTGCCAACACAATGGACCTGCCAGAGCGAATCATGATGAACCGAGTGTCAAGCCGACTGGTAGGGCAGTTCTGTCCTAGGGAAGTTCTCATGCTGTGCTTACAGATTCATAAGTTGGGCCAAGGAATTTTGCAGAAAGAAAACAGAAAACTAAAGTATAGAATGGGAAAATTAAGAAATGTGATTTCTCTTTCCATTAAACTGGCTTTTCATAGCTCAGTCTTTTTTAACGTCTCTCAGAAATGCTTATAGATTTTCTTAATATGTATGTCAGGTATTTAGGGTTAAGATTATTTCTGGATTTTTCTCTTTACTGCAATTGTGAGTTAAAGATTCTTCTTCTGTAAGTGGTTGGGCTATTTATAGTTATTGACATTTTGATATATAAGTACATTTACGCAATTGTGCTCCAGAGAGATGCTATCAGCTATATACAGGGACTAATAAAAATCACTTTTTTGAAAATCAAAAAAAGAAATGTGATTTCTGAAATGATTATAGCTTCTATGTTGGAATGAAATATATCACCATTGCATGATTTTCTGTTAACATCATACCTTCTTGGTGTTTTGTTCCATGCGCACTTTTAAGCTGCAACAGGTCCTGGAGGTTTAATTATTTTTAAAGATGTTTAAGCACTTACAACTCACCAAGCAGTGTTAGGTGCTTGGAGTAAATCAGTGAACCAGGTGGATGTGGTGCCTGTCCTCACTGACCTTGCCGTTCAGCAGAAAGTACATCAAATTGTGAAAAGCTGTGATAATGCATAGCATAGATCCTAAGATCTTCCCACCTACTTTAATTAGAGCACCTCTGCTCTAATCTACCTACTTCTAAGTGATTCTGACAGGATAAAAGGTTCTTTTGTTTTGTTTTTTGAATTGGAGTCTCATTCCATCACCCACGCTGGAGTGCAGTGGCACACTTGCAGCCACCCCAGCGTCGACCTGCTGGACTCAGGCAATCCTTCCCCCTCAGCCTTTCAAGTAGCTAGAACTACAAGTGTGTGCTACCATGCCCGGCTAGTTTTTGATTTTTTTATTGTAGAGATGAGGTCTTGCCAAGTTGCCACGGGCTCAGGCAATCCATTCACCTCCGCCCCCCTAAGTGCTGAGATTATAGGCTGAGCCACCAAGCCAGGCCATAAAAGGTTCTTTAATGAAATGAAAAAATAGTTTGAGAACTATTGCCCTACAGGATACCGCTGGCCATTGTCAATAAAGACAGTGGCTGAAAGCAGTGGTGGTTCTGGAACTAAATGTGTAAATTGTTACATGGTACTTGGGAATTTAGTTTGGGAACCCAGCGTGACTTTCCAACTGGATGACCAATGGACTTCTTTCTCTGTAATTTTGGCTTCTCAGGGTCTTACCAGGATGTCCTTCCAGCCCTACACTCACAGCCAGCTGCAGCTGATCCTGGGGTCCCGACTCAAACGTTTAAAGGCCTTTGAAGATGATGCCATCCAGTTGGTAGCCAGGAAGGTAAGCACCTTTAGGGAACTCCTGGCTGCACCTTCAAACCAATCAGCAAGTCTTTGCAGAAAGCCTGTTGGGTGTGAGGTCCTGTACTGGGTTCTGTGAGGATGAAGAAAAATTTAGGAAGCCCTGTAAGAATGAATACCAAAGAAGAGAAACAAAGCTCTGAAAATTTTTTTAAACCATCTTATTGTATGATTAATCAGAAGGCTGTGAGTATTGTGGGCTTATATATAAACTAATATTAATTGAAAAAGCAGTTTTGTGCAGTGAAAGGGACAATATAGTCAGTTACACAAACCTGGTTTGAATTCTTGCTCTAACACCTAGTAAGCATGTGGAAGGTTATAGGAAAGTTACTTCAAAACCTTCTGAGCCTCAATTTTCTTCTCTAAAAGATGGAAGTAATAATAATTACCTAATAGGGTCACTGTGAGAATTAAATTAGATCATGGCTGTAACATTCCTAGCAGGGCACACAGTCAAGGATAGGTATGTGGTATTGGCTACCTACTTCCTCCAAGTTACTAGGACAATGCCATCTGGGGCTCTCCCAGGCCAGTCTCTGAGGCTGCTGAGCAGCAACGTGGGTTAAGTGTCTGCCTCTAGCGGAAAGAAAGAAAAGCCAAGCATCCACAAGTATTTCAGCACTTAAAAGAATTGTAAATGTATTTCTGGTTTCCTCTTACCTGAAATAATCTGAACCATAAATAGCTATAACCCTGCTAGTGGCTGGGTACTGTACTAAGTATTTGAGTTGAAGGTGAACTCGGTATGATGCCTGTCTCTAAGCTTTGTTTTCCAGGAGAAAGAGCCTCAGAGTTACCATCTACCCCGTCTAAGGATAGAGTTTTCTACTTTGCTGTCATGCATAGTGTTCTTTCTTTCTGAATCATCCTTTTTTAATGCCATCCTATTTATTTGAGGTTGTCACCTCCCTTTTTCCTCCAAGGTGCTTTTGTCAGTTAGTTTGGCCTCTATCTTGAGTTGTTAAAGACTTCCTTAGATGTTCTGATGACCCACTCAGGCATAAGAGTAGTGGTTAAATTGCTGACTGGGGGCTCTGTGTACATGAGTGGAGCTTGTTCTCTGAGAGCGTCACTGTGGGATAATCTGATTGGGCCAGTATCTGTCCTTTCCCATTGAGATAGTCAAATTTCTCAGAGCAGGCTTCCCATGTCCTGCTCGGAGGGCAGTGTTCTGGGAATGAAGGAAGTGGGCTGGTGTCAAGGTGGGTTGGGGTCTTCCGTTTCAGCATGCATACAGTAATTATCTATTTTTGGTGAGGGCTACCTCCTCTCCCGCAATAATGCCTAGTGTCCCTAGGTCCAGAGACTTTTTAATAAATCTGTGATCTACTGTCTTGGTAGGAGAGGGATAAGCTCTAGGGCCAAGAGTTTTTTTTTTTTTTCTTTCATAATTGAGTTTATTGGTTGTGTTAAGGATCAGTACACAGACATTTCAATTTGTACACAGTTCTTAACATATGTACCGAAAATTGAAAAAGCCACATATTGTTATTTTTAAAAAGCTATTCCAGTTACTTTCCAGCTTAAAATTTGGAGGCAAATTTTCCTTAAGAGGATATCAAGTACCAGTATCTTCAAATGTTGATAAGCTGTTACATACATCCCACCAATTCACAATTTACCATATACACAACATACTCAATTTTTCAATCTTTCACAACACATTAACAAAGTTATCAGGAAAACAAGACTACCACAACCAAAGATATTACAGAGGGCACACAATTCTGACAGGGAGAGCCATGATCAAGGAGTGGTTTTCTTTAGGAAACAATTCTACTAAAAAACAACATGGGAACACAAGTAATTTTAAATGTTCAAGACATTAAATGCAGGACTGTGAGCCATATTGCCACTTAGTATACTTTGCATTATAGGATATAAAAACTAACCCCCCCATCTATGGAATGTTAAGCTGATACTCAAGACAGTCGAAGCCTCCTGTAATTCAATATCCCACACTATTTTCTGGTTGTACCAAAAAATAAACCAGCGAATGATATCTCTTTAAAAAAAGCATTTGCACTTAAAAAATAGTATGAGGTGGATCCCTCTGAAAGAAGTTCAGCGCCAGTAACGACTCCTCATCATCCGTTTAAGACCAAGAGATTTATTAAAGCGGCGGTTACAAGGGAAAAAGGGAAAGGTTCTTTGGGGGGGGGAGAGAGAGAGAGAAAGAAAGAGAAAGGAAGTGGGAGAGAGACAGGGAGAGAGCGACAAAGAGAGAGACCCAGAGAGAGAGATATACAGGGAGAGGGCTGTATTTACTAGCCTGACAGGGGCCGGAAGGGGCTGTGCTAGGTTCTTATTGGAGGAGCGGCATGGGAGCAGGGTGGAGACAAAACGCCGTGTTATACTCCTACTGGACGCCTAACAAAGCTGGCTAAGGATTGGAGGCTTGCAGGTTTGAACTTTGCGGGTAGGAGGAATTGTGCACCCAGAAGCCGGGACCTAGGGCCTTTGTTTGGTATGTCCTCACCATGCTCGGTGCCATTCTGGGAGCCGCCCCACTGGTCGCTTCCTGCACCCTTCACCCTCCTTAAAAATGTTTCTAAGATGGGCTCAGTGGCTCAGCCTGTAATCCCGCACCTTTGGGAGGCTGAGGTGAGTGGATTGCCTGAGCCTGGGGGTTCGAGACTCGTCTGGGCAGCGAGACTTCATCTCTACAATAAATCAAAAAATCAGCCGGGCGTGGTAGTGCATGCCTGTAATTCCGGCTACTTGGAAGGCTGAGGCGGAAGGATTGCCAGAGCCCAGCAGGTCGAGGCTGTGGTGGCTGAGAGCAGCCACTGCACTCCAGTCTGGGCAACAGAGAGACTCCAACTCAAAAAAAAAAAAATGTTTCTAGAGCTACTAAAAAACTTACATTTACAAAATAGTTGATAAAAATATTCCTCTGGATTGTACAAGAAGGGAGACAGGGACTACTGATAAGACATGGGATATGATATTATTCAGGCTTGGCTTCTTTCTCTCCTGTTTCATCAGAGACTGGATTCTTCTCGGTTTTAGTTTCTCCATTTTCTGCAGGTGACTCTTCTTTTATTTATTTATTTATTTATTTTGTAACTCTTCTTTAGTTTCTTGGTTAGCCACTTCAGTCTGCTTTCCCTTCGCTCCCCTTTTCCCTTTTGCTTGCACTTTTTTGTCTGAAGATTCATCCTTTCCCGCCGCCTTTTTTGGCTTTGCTTCCACTTTTGCAGGAGCAGGTTTAGCCGACAACCGCGCGGACAACCGAGCCGATCTCCTCTTGGGCTCCTCCTTCGCCGCCCCCCTCGGCGGAGCTGACCTTCCTCTTGGGCATCTTGGCGGCGGGCAGGGCGCGTACCCGGTGCCTGCAGGCAGTGGCACGGACCCAACCGCTACCACTCCTCCCGCCGCCGGAGGAGCTGCTGAGACCTGCAGCGGGGGCGGTGGGAGAACCGGATGGAACCGGATTGGGAGCCCACCTCCTCCTCCTCCTCCTCCCCCCCCATCCCGGGCCAGGAGTTTTATGGAAAATCGTACAAATTACTAAGGCCCAACATTTTCTTACAGAACCTACCTCAGTGGCCCAGTTGTTCCATCCAGCAGTATGAAATAAGGAAAGGATCTAAGGCAAAGGCCAGAAAACTTTCTCTGTGAAGGGCTGGGTAGTAAATGTTTTAGGAACAACAGACCAGAATGGGCCATAAAGATCTCTGTCACAACTGCTCAACTTTGCCTTTGTATCTTGAAAGTAGCCATAGGCAGTATATAAGTGGATGAGCTTAGCTGTGTTCCAGTGAAACTTTATTTATAAAATCAGATGGTGGGCCAGTTTGTTGATTCTTGATCTAAGGCATCTTAAAATAGTTTAACTTTCTCAACTTTTCTTAACTTTCAACCTTAACTTGCTTATTTTTGTCAAACATTCTCCTTAACCTCCAGTTTCAGCACCAACTCCTAGGCATCTTTGAAGATTTTTAATGTAACTTATTCTTTTCTTTTTTGAGTCAGGTTGCAGTGGCACGATCACAACTCACTGCAGCCTTGACCTCCTGGGCTTAGGCTATCCTTCTGCCTCAGCCACCTGAATAGCTGGGACTATAGGCGCACACCACCATTCCCGGCTAATTTTTTAATTTTTTGTAGAGAGAAGGTTGCCTAGACTGTTCTCGAACTCCTGGGTTCAAGCAAGCCTTCTGCTTGGACCTCCAAAATTGCTGGGATTACAGGCATGAGCCACTGCACCTGGCTAGATTTGTTCTTTGATTCCTCACTACTTGCTTAGGATTTGGCTTTCTCCAGTTGACTTAAGTCAGCCACTACTCTTCCACCTCTTTCCAACTTGCAGAATTGTGTTGTTGTTACTCTTCTCCTGTTGCTTCCCTTCCTTTTTAGGTCTTTTTTTTTTTTTTGAGTTGGAGTCTCACTCTGTCGCCCAGACTGGAGAGCAGTGGCTACTCCCGGCCACCGTAGTCTCTTCTGCTGGGCTCCAGCGATCCTTCTGCCTCAGCCTTCCAAGCAGCCGGAATTACAGGCATGCGCTACCACGCCCGGCTGATTTTTTGATTTATTGTAGAGATGAGGTCTCTGCTGCCCAGGCGGGTCTCCAACCCGCAGGCTCAGGCAATCCACTCACCTCAGCCTCCCAAAGGCGCGGGATTACAGGCTCAGCCACCCAGCCTGGCTCTTTTTAGGTCTTTTTGTTTTTGTTTTGTTTTGAGAGACAAGAGCCTTGCTCTGCCAGCCCAGGCTGGAATGCGGTAGCATGATCACAACTCACTGCAGCCTCGAATTCCTGGCCTCAAGTGATCCTCCCACCTCAACCTCCCAAAGGGCTGGGTTACAAACATGAGCCACCATGGCTGGCCTGGTTCTTTTTTGTTTTTTGGGTTTTGTTGAGTTGGAATCTCACTCTGTCGCCAGACTGGAGTGCAATGGCACGCTCCCAGTCACTGCAGCCTCGACTTGCTGGGTTCTGGTGATCCTTCCGCCTCAGCCTTTCAAATAGCTGGAACTGCAGGCATGTGCTACCTCACCCGACTAATTTTTTTTTTTTTTTTTAACTTATTGTAGAGACGAGGTCTTGCCAAGATGCCTGGGTGGGTCTTGAGGCATTTCACTCACCTCGGCCTCCCAAAGTGCTGGGGTTACAGGCTGAGTCACCGAGCCTGGCTGGTTCTTGTTTTTTGTTTTTTTGTTTTTTGAGTTGGAGTCTCACTCTGTCGCCCAGACTGGAGTGCAGTGGCCGCTCCCGGCCACCACAGCCTCGACCTGCTGGGCTCCGGTGAGCCTTCCAAGTAACCGGAATTACAGGCATGCGCTACCACGCCCGGCTGATATTTTGATTTATTGTAGAGATGAGGTCTCGCTGCCCAGGCGGATCTCGAACCCGCGGGCTCAGGCAATCCACTCACCTCAGCCTCCCAAAGGCGCGGGATTACAGGCTGAGCCACTGAGCCCGGCTCTCTTGTTTTTTTTTAATGAGGGTTCAAAAGGCATCAAATTTGGATGCTGTTTTTACCCAAATCACTTGACCATAATTTCAACCTCCTTTTGTACTTCTTTACATATAAAGAAGCATATCTATTTTATATTTTATATCTTATAGTTATGATAACTGAAGTCTTTGAAGGTCTGCTTCTGCTGGTTCCCATGCATGTATGGCTTTCTTTTCTTATTTTTGTGTCTTGATTATTTTAGTTTTACTATATGCACAGAAACCAGCATGTTCCTTTATTTCAGAATTAATTGGGGCCTGCATTGAAGTTGAGTTTATTTAGAATTTGTTTTTACTTCTGTCAGTTACTTTGAGGCACTACCAACTGTTAACCATTTTTTAAATAAAATTATCTACTTGAGCATTCTAGGAGAGACAACATAAATTTGGGCTACAAATCCATGTGAGGGTTTGAGGTTGCAGAAACTCAGGGCTTTTTTTTTTTTTTAACCTCACATCTTTGCTCTAATCTTCCACAGGCACCAAAGTCAAAACAGGCTGTTCTTTCTGCCATCCCGTCTGTGTGAAGGGTCTCATTTACCCTCCTAGAGGTTGACTTCCAAGTTCATGTGGGGACTCCTATTGGATTCCATGTTGAGTGGGCATTAGCCTTGCTCCAGCCTCAGTCAGAAAGAAATGATGTGTAGGTTCACCAAGGTCATGGATGCCCTCAGGGTAAGACTTGGGTATTTTCTTTTTTTTTTTTTTTTTGGAGTTGGAGTTGGAGTCTCACTGTCACCCAGACTGGAGTGCAGTGGCGATTCCTGGCCACCACAGCCTCGACCTGCTGGGCCCTGGCGATCCTTCCGTCTCAGCCTTCCAAGTAGCTAGAACTACAGGTGCGTGCTACCACGCCCAGCTAATTTTGATTTATTGTATTGTAGAGATGAAGTCTCGCCAAGTTGCCCAGGCGGGTCTCGAACCCGTGGGCTCAGGCAATCCACTCACCTCAGCCTCCCAAAAGCGCAGGATTACAGGCTGAGCCACCGAGTCTGGCTGGGTATTTTCTTTTTTTTTTTAAACTGACAAATTGGACTTTATTTTTTTTTTTTTTATTAATCAGTATTTTTTATTATGGTTTTGTGGAGTACAGTTAAGGGTTAGGTGTACAATTACGTTTCATTCAGGCATGGGTGTTTTCTCACCTTCGGATTCCCTTTCACTTTGTCCTTGGTCCTCTGTGGTAGCTCTTGAGTCCATACTGTTCACCACTGCTAGGCACTGTCTCACCAGGCTGCTCAGTGGTAAGAGGGGAAGAGAGGTGATGAGGCAGGAATGTCTACAGGACTTCCTTACTATCTCGATGTAGAAGAGTAGAGGACAAAAATAGATGCTGGTATTCATGTTTCTGTCTTAGGCTACTTAAAGTGATTTTTTTGTCTTGAATGTCTTGAATTTGAATACATTTAATGTCATCTATAATCCTCCTTCTCAGAGATGACTACTTTTAATGTCTTGGTGTGTTGTGTATATATCCCTACACCATTTGCTTTTTGAAACTTAATGTACCATGAATTTTGGAAGGAAGTGATTGCTTCAGGGATATTGCCAAGCAGGACATGAGTGGCAGTCAGGTGAATGGTCGAGATTGCTGGCAAATACTGGAAAAACAGAACCTAAGTCATCCTTGCAATCCACAGGGAGTCTAAGGATTTCCTGAGAGGGGCCCAGGAGCCCCTCAGCCTGTATACTCATGGGGAAGAAGGGATAGCAGCAGGGCCTCTGGCCTTGTGGTTGGTCTGATTCATCTAACCACAGATTGCTCTGGGTCTTCCAGCTTTGCGGTGTCCTTCCCTTCCCCATTCTTGATTCTGGTTCTCTTAGCCATTTACCAGGCAGTCCTCAAAATTCATATGCTGTAAGGGAGGCCTGGCTATGACTTTGCCTCCAGATAATGCTCCACCTCAGCCTCTTGACCTTGGCTGGCTGCTTCTGGGGGCATACTTCTCTCTCCATATAGAGAACAGAGCCCTTGTGTTTCTAAAGGCTTCAGTAATGATCTTGGGCCAAGATCTCTTTTTTTTAGACTTAATTTCCTGTATAATAAAGCTGAGAATTTCTGCCTTTTCCATTGTGGAGTTATACGTAAAACCAAGACAAAGATTTAAACTAGGGGATTAGAGTCCCATGCATAATATAATAACTTATTCCTATGCTGCCTCCAGTTTCCCTTTTGGGGCTGAGCACTTAACTTTAGGCTAAAGGCCATTGCCAGCACTACTTTTCCGTTTTAGCTGAACACAGAATCTGTGGGTTCTTTTGGGGTGAGGTAGCCTCAGAAATAAAATATTCCCTCTTGTAGGTAGCAGCCCTCTCTGGAGATGCACGACGTTGCCTGGACATTTGTAGGCGTGCCACAGAGATCTGTGAGTTCTCGCACCAGAAGCCCAACTCCTCTGGCCTGGTCACCGTAGCCCACTTGATGAAAGCTGTGGATGAGATGTTTTCATCATCATACGTCATGGCCATCAAGTAAGATGCTCTACTTCATGAACCCTCCCAGAAGGTTGTAGAGACATTTCCCTTTCTTTTTTTTGAGTTGGAGTCTCACTCTGCCGGCCACCACAGCCTCGACCTGCTGGGCTCCAGCGATCCTTCTGCCTCTGCCTTCCGAGTAGCTGGAACTACAGGCATGTGCTACCACGCCCAGCAAATTTTTGATTTACTGTAGAGATGAGGTCTTGCCAAGTTGCCCAGGCGGGTCTCGAACCCGCGGGCTCAGGCAGTCCACTCACCTCAGCCTCCCAAAGGTGCGGGATTACAGGCTGAGCCACTGAGTCCGGCTAACATTTCCCTTTCTAAGCTTTTACTTATTCAGCCTACATTTACTAAAGACAAGGTTTCTTTTTCTTAGGGGCATTGTCTACTCAGGGAGGTGAAATATAAACCTAGAGAATACTTGCCACTTACTGAGCTATACTTAGGAGTTTAGGGAGGAAAGTACATGGGAACTAGAAGAAAGAAGTAGTCCTCTCACACTGAATGATGCACTCAGGTCATTAAATGAGGGCACGGATATTTTTGAGGTACCAGTATATTTCCAGGTATAGTTGCTATGTTCCCTGACTTCCACAGTGGCATGTTCTCTATCTGTTTAAGACTTTGGGGGTGAGGAGAGAACCTTGCCACATAATATAGGAGAAAGTACTTCCCAATTTTTTTCTGTCTTCTTTTCTAAAAACACAGAAAACCTTTGTTTGGTTTTCTTCTGGGCTGGTGGTACAGCCACTTATAAGAACTCATATCTTCTCGTTTCCTTTCAGAAATTCCTCCGTTCTGGAACAGGGCTTCCTGAGAGCCATCCTTGCAGAATTCCATCGGTCAGGACTGGAGGAAGCAACATTTCAACAGGTGATCTCCTCTTTTTCAAAACCTTCTAGATTTTGATCTTGGGCTTTTAAAATATGTGCCGGGCCCAGTGGCTCAGCCTGTAATCCCGTGCCTTGGGTGGCTGAGGTGAGTGGATTGCCTGAGCCCGCGGGTTCGCAACCCGCCTGGGCACCTTAGCGAGACCTCATCTCTACATTTAAAAAAAAAATTAGCCGGGTGTGGTAGCGTGCGCCTGTAGTTCCAGCTGCTTGGAAGGCTGAGGTGGAAGGATTGCCGGAACCCAGCAGGTCGAGGCTGCGGTGGCCGGGAGTCACCACTGCACTCCAGTCTGGGCGACTGAGTGAGACTCCAACTCAAAAAAAAAAAAAAAAAAGTGACAGTTTCAATGAGTGCATAGCAGTTTGTCTTTCTTTTTTGCTGGCTATGTGAAAGAATAGCAGACCGACACCTATTTTTATGTGACATTTGATTGAATTGCATGAGGAGAGACTTTTAGCAACTGGTTTCTGTGTTACATTGAAGGCCTACTATGTGCCAGACACTGTTTAAGGAGTGAGATGAACAAGACAAAATTACTGCCAGTTACAGCTTATGTTGTAGTGGGGGCAAAGCTTTCAGAACAAGACCACGCTTGAAAACAAATCACAGATCAATATGAACACTATTTGAACATAGTTTGATTAGATCAAGTAAAAGGAACCATTAAGGCTCGTGCCTTAATAATTTACTTAACACTGGTGCCCTAAGTGATTGGCAGCCTTAGAAGGTGAATTGTTAAAGGTGTTTGTGTATACCCGAGACTGTGTATGTTTCAGACACTGTTATTTAACTAAAATAGAGAAGTCAGGGGAACATTTGCCTTTCAGCTACTTCTTTAATGGATTGGTCATAAATTCTGTTATAAAAATTTAGTTCAACCGGGCTCGGTGGCTCAGCCTGTAATCCCGCGCCTTTGGGAGGCTGAGGTGAATGGATTGCCTGAGCCCATGGGTTCGAGACCCGCCTGGGCAGCGACACCTCATCTCTACAATAAATCAAAAAATCAGCCGGGCGTGGTAGCACATGCCTGTAATTCCGGCTACTTGGAAGGCTGAGGCGGAAGGATCACCAGAGCCCAGCAGGTCGAGGCGGTGGTGGCCGGAAGCGGCCACTGCACTCCAGTCTGGGCGACAGAGTGAGACTCCAACTCAAAAAAAAAAAAAAAAAATTTAGTTCAGTTACTAGTCATATTTTGACTGAGATCACTGTTTTCCAGATCGAGTTTCATTTTTATTTTGTAAGCATTTCCCGAGCATCTACAACGTACCATTCACTGTGATGGGTGCCATGAACGCCAAGCTGAGTTGGTTAATATCTGTGCTTTTGACAAGCTGCCATCCGTGAGGGAAGGAGGGCGACGTGGGCAGGGTAGATACATAAATATTTAGAATGGAGAGTGACCGGAAATGCTAAGACTTGCCCGGCCCAGTAGGGAGCTCTGGGATGGAAATCTGTTTCCTGTTCTCCTCTAGTCTTCTTTTATTTCTTTATTCATATTTCAACTCATGAGAGATGTGCAGTACATTTCATAGATAAAAGAGTGCAGTCACTTGCCCTGAGTTGCATATTTAGGTAAGTGGTAGAACCAGGCTCCAGACCTGCTGTTTTCTGATTTCAGGGCTAGTGTTTCCTTCTGCCTCTGCATTTGTGCACCACTGGGGCGCCCGTCCCGTGGATGCCTCTGGGGTACTTGGTGTCCTGGGCACCATGCATCTGCTTTTCCCAAAAGAAGAAATAAGTGATTGACCTGGGAAAGTCAGCCCGGACTGCCTTTCCTCATAACCTTTGGTTTGCTTCTTGTGTCAGATATACAGTCAACATGTGGCGCTGTGCAGAATGGAGGGGCTGCCGTACCCCACCATGTCAGAGACCATGGCTGTGTGTTCTCAGCTGGGCTCCTGCCGCCTCCTGCTCGTGGAGCCCAGCAGGAACGACCTGCTGCTGCGTGTGCGGCTCAACGTCAGCCAAGATGATGTGCTGTTCGCGCTGAAAGAAGAGTGAAGCAGCGCCACGTGGGAGGATGGCGGTCTGCTGTTTTTAAAGAGGCTGATTTCTTTTTAAGCACATGGAATGATTGTAGCAAAGTATATTGGATGGAAACGGCTATCACGTAATTTGCAGTTTTCTATTAAATAATTTGCTTTTTCCGAGTGTTTGGGAATGTATTTCACTTTAGTCGTTACAAATATCAGATTATAAAATCCTTGCTATCATAGGCCCTCCCTCTGACTTTTATTTCTCTTACTAGTTCTGCCATTTTTTAATGGTAGCATTATACATGTATGTATGTACACACACACACACACACACACAATATATATACTTTATATAAAATACTTCTGGGTCTGGGACCATATGTAAGAAATTCATGGCCGGGCTTGGAGGATCAGCCTATAATCCCAGCACTTTGGGAGGCCAAGGCAAGTGAATTACCTGAGCTTATGGGTTGGAGACCAGCCCAGGCTAGTTGGTGAGGGTGAGACCTTGTTCTACAATAAATCAAAAATTAGCCAAGTGTGGTAGCACACACCTGTAGTTTGGGCTACTTGGAAGGCTGAGGCGGAAGAATCGCCAGAGCCTAGCAGGTCGAGGTTGCAGTGGCCATGAGCATGCCACTTCATTCCAGGCTGGGCGACAGAATGAGACTCCAACTCAAAAAAAAGAAATTCATTGGCCAGATGGCCATGGCCAGGGGTTAGAATAGGACTTTCATTTTGTATCTTTTAAGTTTTGAACAATGTAAAACAAAATTTACTTTATAAAAGGAAACTGCTAAAAATAGTATCAGTGCTAAGGAATCTCTAGCAACAAATAACTAGAAAATGTAATTTTTACAAAAATTTATCATAAAAACAAATCTCTGCAGAATATTTATAAAGCACAGAAGATATAAAGTAACTAGGAATAATCTAAGAAAGATGCAGTCGATCTCTGGATACAAATAAATTCTAATTCAGAGTCTCAGCAGGGTTTCTTGTATGGCTTTGCAAGTTAATGTTAATATTTGTATGGAAACCAATAACAGGGCAAGTGGAAATCTAAAGTCTCATATGAGGTACTGGGAAAAACAACCTCACCTATGTAATAGTCCTGTCAGAAATATTTGGCCTAAGTCTATGGATGAGAAGATTCTACAATAATTCTAAAATAGGGAGAAATACTCTGCAAAGCAACTGCTCCATTTAGAATACTAATAAAAAAATAACCCTTGGTTGGGCTTGGTGGCTCAGACTGTCATCCCAGCACTTTGGGAGGCCGGGACGAGTGGACTGCCTGAGGCTGCGGGTTCAAGAACCACCAGGGCAACTTGGTGAGACCTCATCTCTACAATAAGTCAAAAATTAGCTGGGCGTGGCAGCGTGCTCATGTAGTTCTGACTATTAGAATGCTGAGGCGGAAGGATCGCCAGAGCCCAGCAGGTCGAGGCTGCGGTGGCCGGGAGTGGCCACTGCACTCCAGTCTGGGCGACAGAGTGAGACTCCGACTCAACAAAAACAAATAAACCTCACAAACAACATTCATATTAGATAATAGTATTACGTAGGTGTTAAATTTTGTGAGGGTGATAAATTAGTGATTTTATAGAATGCTCTTGTCCTTAACAGATTCACAATGAAATATGAGTGAAATTTTTTAATATCTGCAAGTAATTCTCAAAGCAAAAAAATTATATATGTATTCATATGTATGTTTATTTTATTTTATTTTTTGAGTCAGAGTCTCACTCTGTTGCCCAGGCTGGAGCAGCACTGCAGCACTGACCTGGGATCAGGCGATCCTTCCACTGCTGCCTTCCAAGTAGCTGGAACTACAGGCATGCGCTACCACACCCTGCTTATTTTTTTTTATTTGTTTTAGAGACGAGGTCTCACCAAGTTGTCCAGGCTGGTCTCAAACCTGAGCTCAGGGAATCCTCTCACCTCGGCCTCCCAAAGTGCTGGGATTACAGACTTGAGCTACCATGCCTGGCTTTATATATATATTTATAACTGCATATAATGGGCTGAGTCTCAATATCAGAATTTTTTTTTGAATCAGAGTCTCACTGTCACCCAGACTGAAGTGCAGTGGCATGCTCATGGCCACTGCAGCCTCGACCTGCTAGGCTCAGGTGATCCTTCCACTTCAGCCTTCCAAGTAGCTGGAACTACAGGCACACACCACCATACCCAGCTACTTTTTTTTTTAGATTTACTAGAGAGACAAGGTCTCGCCAAGTTGCCCAGGCTGGTCGCGAATCCTAGGCTCAGGCAATCCTCTCACCTCCACCTCCCAAAGTCCTAGGATTACAGGTGTGAGCCACCGCACCCAGCTAGTATTAGACTATTTTAAAGACTTCTGCAATTAATAAGGAAAAGGAGCCGGGCTCGGTGGCTCAGCCTGTAATCCCATGCCTTTGGGAGGCTGAGGTGAG